GGACAAGTCATGGGCCACCCATGGCACAGTTGGGAAGAGTCTCCTCGCCAAAGTTTAACCAGCTCCTTTGCAGTTGAGCTATGTAGAACTAGAAATTATTTACCTGAACCAGGGGCATGCTAGGAATTAAAAGGATTTTTTTTTTATCACAACTCTGATAAGTGTTGAGTCAATTGGATCTAGAAAATGTTTCAAAAGGGATGGGAGTGGAGCCCAACCCTAGAAAGAAGTGAAAAACAACAAGGAAAAAAAAAAAGGCAGAGTTGAGTAACTCTAGAAGTTCTAAGTTGTCCACTTGGAAGACAGTCCTGTCCCCCCTACCCCTCTTCACTTATCCTACTCCATGCAGGACAACTATACCATTGAGAACCCTTTTAATGGAATATCATGCATTACAGCTCCCTCTATTGGTGTCATTCCTCATTGGATTGTAAACTCCTGTCGCGATTGTTTGCATTATATATTCCCCAGCACCTAGGACAGTGATCTGTGTGCAATAGAAGATATTTATGGTATTATACTGTACAAGGCAAATTGAGGACTTGCCCTGATAAGAGCAGAAACATAACCTTGTCAACAGAGGTCCATATAGTCAAAGCCATGGTGTTTCCAGTACTGATATATGGCTTTGAGCGCTGGACTATATGGAAAGCTGAATATCACAGAATTGACACTTTCAAATTGTGGCACTAGAGAAGACTTTTGAGAGTACCATGGACAACAAGGAGATCAAATTAATCAATACTTAAAGAAATAACTCAGACTATTCACTCAAAGGTCAAATACTGAAGCTTAAATACTTTGGCCACATAATGAGAAGACAGGACTCATTGGAAAAGATCCTGATAGTGGGAAAGATGGAAAGCAAAAGGAGAAAGGGATAGCAGAGGATGAGATGGATAGATAGTATCATGGAAACAACGAACATGAGGTTGGACAGTTCTTAGGGGATAGTAGAGAACAGAAGGGCCTGGTGTGCTATGGTCCATGCAGTCACGAAGAGCTGGACACAACTAAACAACAACAACCTGATAAGAGCCAAGGCTTCTTACTAGCCCAGAGTGCATATAGCCTGGAAGATTTCTAACTTGGACACGAGTCAAGGTAGTTTGGTACTGTAGAGTTAAACTGAGCATCACTGAATAAGAATTTAAGGTAAGGTACCCATACACATATCTTAAAGGGTTCTTTTTTTAAGCTAGTACTAATTTAGTCTTTTAAAAATCACCCTTCAGATAACAACTGTTTTTGCAATTTATGGTCTTAGAGAGTTTTCTGGGACACTAAGAAATTAAGATTTGATCTGGGTCAATAATAATAAATAACAATAGCTAGCATTTATACAGGACCTTAAAGTTTTCAAAATGCTTTACAAATATCGTCTCATTTTATCCTCACAAAAATTCTGGGGGAAGAAGGGTTAAGTGCAATTATTACCCCCATTTTATAAATGAGGAAACTGAAGCAAAGAGCGATTTAAGTGACTTGCCCAGGGGTCACATAGCTAGTGAATGTCTGAGCCTGGATTTGAACTTAGGTCTACCTACCGCTCTACCCACCTCTGGGGTCACTAGCTACCTCTGGGGTCAGAGCCAGTAGGCTGGATTAGAATCTTTCCTCCCCTATAACAATCCTTTTTTTTTTCCTTTTTTTTTTTGCAAGGCAATTGGGGTTAAGTGACTTGCCCAAGGTCACACAGCTATCTTTTTTTTTTTTAAAGCAATATCGAGTAACTAGGAGGTTCTATGATATTCCTTTTTTTTTTTTCAACTATCCACCCTAAAGGAGAGACTATCATTCTTCTGATAGGGACTCGGTGCCTTCCAGTCTAGATGGCTTTGCTCCTCTTACTTCTCATCTCCATCTATTACCCTTTTCCAAAGCTTAGCTCCAATACCATTTCCCAGAAGTCTCCCTTCATTTTTCTTCTTACCCCCCCACCAAAAAGAAAGACCAAAAACGCACCGCAAACTTGAAGTGGTCCTGCCCTCCTCTGACCTCTTGGAATACTTAGTTTGTACCACTCATTCTGATGTATGATAGATGTTGGCATACATGACACCCTCAAAGATATTATACGAGAAAAGATTTCAGTTGTGTGTACATGTGCATTCCCAAATGGAATGGAGAAGGGGGAAAAAGAGGTTCAAGGTAGAAATACATGTGGATATTTATGTTTGCGTGTGTCCAGTTCCTCTAAATTGCCTTTCTTAAAACAAATTTTTATTGATGTCTTTTGTTTTCTGACATCACCCAAATTTCTACCAGTATCCCTTTTCCCTCCCTCTCCAGGAAAGTTATTCCACATAACAAACAATATCTTTTAAAGGAAAATAAAAACAGGAAAACAGGAATACATAAAAAAATCTTTAAATATGTGCAATGCACCACACCTGTGAAGCTCCCACCTCTGCAAAGGGGGTGAGTTGAGGGTATCCTTTCATATCTCTTCCTTGTTCTTTGTAATTCTGCAACATTCACTTTTTCATTCTTTTGTGGTCCTTCTGTTTACACCAGAGTTGTCAGTATATCATTTTCTTGACTACGCTTACTTCACTTGGTATCAGATCCCGTAAATTGTTCCATCTTTATTCTGTCATATTTGTTGTCTCTTATAGCTCAGCTGTTTTCTGTCACGTTTGTGTTCCACAAGTTGTTTAGCCTTTCAATGGCTGAATCTTTTATTCCAATCCTTTGCTATTATAAAAGGTGTTTCGTAATGCCTTTTTATCTTTGTGGGGTTTGGGGTAGTAGTACAGGTGGGTCAAGAGCTCAGGAACTCTCCACAGGAGGAGACAGATGGAACAGAATTTATAAGACACCCTCCTGGAAACAAAATTGCTCTGCTCCCATTAGATTGTAAGCTCTTTGAAGGAAAGGTCTGTCTTTTGCCTCTTTTTGTATCTCTAGGGCTGAGCACAGTGCCTGGCATATAATAGGCACATAATGGTTGATCCTTTCTAGGATGGAAAAAGGGACACAGTGAAACTGTTCTGTTCCAAGGGCCCTCTGGGACAGGCAAATCACCCAGTAAGAGGGGAATTTGATCTTCAATGCCTAGTTGGCTTCTTCTTTCTGCCCTTGTATGTTCAGACACATCAGATGAGATTAACATGTACAGTGCTTTGCAAACCTTAAAGCTCTGTATAACTGTTTGCTATTGTTAATTAATAAACATTTACCATTTACCTACTAGGTGCCAAGCACTGTTAATTCTAATTATCATTATTATTACTTTTGGGTTTCCACAAGGTAGAGAGGGCAGTGGTGGGGGAAGCCAGAGCTGTGAGTGACCCTGATCCTGGAGCAGGGCTGTAGGTGACAACCTCTAGGAGAAAGAATCTGAAGTTGCTGCAATCATTGGCTTTTCTCAGTCTAATTGAACTGACAAGTGAGCAGGGAGGGGGAGACTGATTTCTTTGATTATCTCCCTCACTTTGTCTTTCCTATGTCATGATCCTGAGATCGGTTGCAGAAGCCCCTTCCAATTCTTTTCCTTAAACCGTAGTTATATGAGGCCATAAATTTCTACCACCATCACCTCTGCCTCCCCCACATCTGAAGATCTGGGTGAGCTGGAGAAGGTTCAGAAGTTGGCTGGAGATAGATGTCTCCATAAAGGAGTGCTTGTACATTCAATAAACTACATCAGGATAATAATAATAATAACAATAACTACCATTTATACATTGTTTTGAGGTTTGCATAGTACTTTACATGTTTACATTTGATCCTCACAACAAGTCTTTGAAGTAGGTGCTATTATTAGTTTTTCTATTTTACAGATGAGGAAACTGAGGCTGAGGGAGATTAAGTGATTTGCCTAAGGTTGCATAGCTAGTAAAGGTCTGAGGTTGGATTTGAACTCTGGTCTTCCTAACTACAAGTGCCCCCTAGCTGCCTCATAGTCTTTGAATTTGTGAATGTGAGGCATTGTGAACTGAGAGGGGACTGATTGCAGGGGGAACAGTATAAGTATCTTCATCATCAGTACCCTCTAGTGGCCAGTGGGGATATTTCAGCTTTTTAGGAAGGCTGTCCCAGGGCAGCACAAGAAACAGTTAAAGCTACTGTCTCAAGCACAGTGCCAACTGAGAAGTGACCCAGACATTGCATTCCCTTGCTGGATAATTAATACAGTGACATGCCGTCTTATTGTACGCTTAAGGAATGCAGCAGTGTAATCATACAAACTCCACTTGTTTGCATGTCACAGAAGTCACTATACATTGTAACCTGCGACTAGGAAAAGACCATGACTTTTGTTCCTCCCGCTCACCACCCCCCACAGAACTTTGCACATTGTTGGTACTTACCAACTTAATGACTGTTGAATGAAAGGGTCCTATTTACCAGATTTCCCGTTTCCCTTGGTGGCAACCTGAATTTCAGAAATAATAACTAAGGGGAAACCACTTTTCTCCAAACCCCAAACCTTGCATTCCTAGACAGATTGGTGAAGTGATAGCAACCATCATATACACTGATGTGATCACATACACATAACCCTAAATAAATGCCTAGGGCTTAAGGGAAATAGACATCAAGCCTAAATGAAGTTTCACTAAATCTGTGCATCTTTTTCCCTTCTGGGTTGGATTCCTAGTACCTTGCATTATCATTAAGCAGGCAGAGGCCAGATGGGAGGCTAGTAGCACTTTCCATAGGGTTGGCTACGGCAGGCAGCCGCTACACCTGTCTTTGATCTCTGTGATGTTAATGTGATAGGGGACTCGGAGAGCTCATAGGATCATAAAACTTAGGGCTGAAAGAGACCTTAGATACCATTTACTCCAATGTTTTCATTTTGCAGGAGAGGAAGTCCAAAGTGGGAAGTCTGGGGTATTAAGTGACAGAGTCAGGATTCAAACACTAGCTCTTCTGACATCAAAACCAGTATTCTTTCCACTACACCACACCCTTCCCACTGGCTTCCCATGCCAAAGACGCAAAAAACTCGGCACAGAGCATTACAAGTCAGGGAGAGGCCAAAAGGGTCTCCTATTTATTCTTATTTCAGGCTTCCTAGTGAGGCCTGATAGTAGAGGAAATGCCAGCCCAATCCTGCCCTGCCCCCCATTTCTTACGCTCCCAGGGCTCCATTAGCCCTCCGGCCCCAGGGTGTTTTGCCTGGAGGTATCTATCTACCTTCCTTGTGGCCAGACTCTTGCCTCACCTTGGCTATGAGAAAGAGTCTTCAGTTTTCTCCTCTGATGATTTCTCTGTTATCTCCTCTAGCGAAGGGTGTGGGACAGACGAAGAGCAAGGGTTTCGGAAGGGACTGGGCCGGCTGGAGGACCGGAAAGGAGGTGGCCTGTCCAGGGCCCGGGCAAAGGGCCCAAAATACTCAGCAGCAAAGGTTACTACATTAGAAGGCTGGCGGAGCAACAGGAAGAGTAAAAAATCAGAGATCAGGGTCTGGGCCTCTGGGTGATGCCGCATGTAAGTGGCATGGCTGGCCTGGAGCTCTTCCTGGGCAGAGATCATAAGAACAGAGGATGTTAGAGCCTGGGAATTGTTTGGGACAACCTCATTTTAGAGACGAGGAAAAGATCCTCACCAGAAACTTAATGATTTGCCCAAGGTCACTCAGTAAAGCTTAGATTTGAACCCAAACTCAAATCCAGAGCCAAAATGAGAGGTCTCCAAAGTTTGTCTTCAGTTTCCTTCTGTGCTAAAGGAAAAATTGTGCCCTTTTCTTCTCCATCTTTTGTGCCCCAGGCTGTTGCTGAGCTTAACTCTTTCCTCCGGGTTCTACTCTCTCCTCCCCATTCAACTTAAGGACCCACTCTTGGGATGAGGATGAAATGTTTCCATAGACTCATCAGCAATGGGTCGGTGCTCTTGAAATCATAGTTCCTGGACCCCTTCCCCTGCCTAGCCTTCTCTCTGGGGAACGCATCAGGATCTTTCCTCTCGACCCTGTGATTCTCTTACCTTCCGGTCCCGGAAAATGGCAAAGAGCTGGACATCTTCCTCCCATTCCAGGTGTTTCTTTTCAAACACTGGCTTGGGATCAAACTCATCTGGGCAGGGAGGGAGGAAGAGGTGGAAAGGAGAAGGGAAAGATTAGAAAGTTGGAAATTGCCTTCCACATTCCCTCTGAAGTTTGTATGGCCTGATGGGACTCAGAAAGAAGCAGGAATAGGGGATGTAGGAGACTCATTACATATCAAGTTTTGATCTTGACTTCAAGGTGTCTTTTCATATATTCTGTGTACCATCCCCAGAGGCAGCAGCAGTCCCAAGACTGTCAGATTTAAAGCTAGAAGCGACCTTAGAGATTATCCTGTACAAACTCATTATTTACAAATTATAGGATCCTAAATAACAATAATAATGATGATGACAAGAATAGTTAGTATTTTTTTTTTTTGTGACTAGGCAATGGGGTGACTTGCCCAGGGTCACACAGCTAGTAAGTGTCAAGTGTCTGAGGCCAGACTTGAACTCAGGTCCTCCTGATTCCAGGGCCCTATCCACTTTCGCCACCTAGCTGCCCCAAGAATAGTTAGTATTTACATAGCACTATAAGGTTTGCTGATGTTAACTCATTTGATCTTTACAACAACTCTGTGAGTTAAATGCTATTTTTATCCCCATTTTACAGATGAAGAAAAACCAAGACACAGAGAGGTTAAATGATTTATCCAGGGTCACACAGCCAGTAAGTGTCTGAGGCCATATCTGAACTCAAGTCTTCCTGACTCCTGGCCCAGTGCTCTATCCATTGCGCCACCCAGCTGACTCACTAATAGGGATAATAATAAGGGGTAGTTAGGTGGCGCCATAGTGCACAGAGTGCTAGGACTAGAGTCAGGAAAACCGGAGTTCAAATCTGCCCTCAGCCACTAGCTCTGTGACCCTGAGCAAGTCACTTAACCTTATTTGCCTCAGTTTTCTCATCTGTAAAATGACATGGAGAAGGAAATAGCAAACCATTCCAGTATCTGTTGTGGTGAGGGTCAAATGAGATAACATGTAAAACACTTTGCAAACCTTACAGTACTATATAAATGCCAGATACTATTATTGTTATTAGATCATGAAACTGAGGTCCAGGCGTGGATGTACCTGTCCCAAGGTCTTATGGGTAGTAACTGGCAAAAGCAAGTTTCAAACCTAGGCCTGGTTCAAAATTCCCTCTTCTTTCCACAATACCTGATGTCTCAGACACTATTCACTTGCAGAATGAATGGAAATGCTATCCCTTTCTGGAAGGCTCCTGGAGGTTTCCCCCACCTTTTCTCTTCCAACTGGCCCCCCCATCATCAGCTCCATAAATGTAGACACTATCTAGGATGGTCCAAGGTTCAAGAACAAGAAATGTGCTTTTAGCATGGCTTTGGAGAAGAAATAGCCTTTATCAGGTCAAGCTTGTGTCCTGATTTTTGGCTTAGAAAAACTCCAGGCCATCATGCCCTTGCCTGACTTGACCTCTTACTTACCCTCCTCCCTCATTATGGGCATCTTGGTGATGATGCAGCAGAAAGGGGACCCCACCTGGATTCTCTTGGCCAGGTGCCTAAGGCAGAAGGAAAGAAAAGTTTGTATGAGGCACTAAGAATGGCAAAAGTGGGGTGTGGAGAGGGGAAAAATATTCAGTTCTCCCCTCTCTTCTCCTGGCCTGGTCATTAGGAGTATCTATTCACTACCCACTCTGAGTCAGACTACTCAGACTCTAGATCATTCATGCCTCCCACTGACTCTCAGATTCACTTATCACCATCTATAGTTAACTATCATCTGAACCCATTTACCTCTGTATTCACCACAGAAAATAGGCAACAGTTCATGTGAAAAAGGTCTGGGGGGGGGGGTAGCTAGGTGGCCCAGTGGATAGACCACCAGCCCTGGAGTCAAGAGGACCTGAGTTCAAATCCGGCCTCAAACACTCGACACTTACTAGCTGTGTGACCCTGGGCAAGTCACTTAACCCCATCGCCTAGCAAAAACAAACAAAACGAGAAATATGGATGTTTAAGTCTGAAAAAGAGAAGACTTAGGGGAGTGGTCACTCTGGGCCTGTTTCCCTTTCCGTAAAATGAGAGAGCTAGATTAACTGACCTCTAAGGTCCCTTCAGCTCTAAATCTATATCCTAGAAATAAAATGGGTTGTCTCAGGAGTGGTAGGTTCCTGGTCATTGGAGGTATTCAAGTAAAGACCAAAACTGAATGATCACTTGTCAGTGATGCAGAAATTTCAGGTACTGGCTGTCGATCTCCGAGATCCCTTCCAACCCTGAAATTCTGAGACTGGCCCACCCACCACTCACAACCATATGCACCATTCACACCTTCGTTCAGTCATCACCTCCACCCCTTACATCCATATTCACCACCAGGCCCTCTCTCTCATTACTGGCCATCAGCCATAACCCTCCACCTTCCTTCCACCCAGTAAACTTACTCACCCATCAGGTAACAGGTAGTATTGCCACGTCATGGGGATGTCTTCATTAGAATGCACTGTCTGTTCTACCACCAACACTTCAGCTTGCTCTGAGCCCAGGTGAATGGTTTGGAAGCCCAGGGCTTCCTAAAGGAGGTGGGGATGGAGAGACAAGGAGGCCACGGCTCAGGACTCCTCTCCCTTCCTCTAGGCTCAGTTTGACCCTCTTCTTCCCCTTCCTAATGCTCCCTTTCTCATACACCCTGTCTCAATACCACCCTTCTCTGTATGCCCCTCAATCCTCCCCAAAAGATCTGCACCTCCTCTTCTTTTTTCCTGACCTGGGGAGGGTTTCCCCCATGGCCACAAGGAAGGACAATGAGTGAGGAGCCAAGGTGGGATGAGGGTACAGTGAATGGTGCCCAGCTCCAATCCCAATGTGCTCTATTCCTTAGCAACATTCTCCCTCAGGACCACTGGATAACTTCTGTCCCAACTCAACCCTCTCGTCCCTGCCAGATCCTGATCCACCAGAACCCCTTTCCTCTGCCCTTCCCCCAGCTCACTCCCAGGCCACAGAGCTCCCTCACATAGGTGGAGTGGCAGAGCTTTCCTTCTCCATCAAAGGTCAGGAATTTGGCATTTTGGGGAACCTTCCTTCGCCAGCCCATCACCCTTAGCAGGAGCAGGTTGGCAGACTCTGAGATGAACCCGTCCATCATATTCAGGCTGAACGATGTCTTTTCTGTATTTGTAACCTGCCCGTGACATTACATGAGTCACAATTCCTGGTGGCAAGGGGAAGGGGGTGGGTAGGTGGGAATGGGTGTAGCTAAAGCCTTTGGGTAGGAGGGACGTAAGAGGATTCCTCTAGTCCAGCACTCATGCCTAGTACACACCCAGTCAGGCTAATGACACCTTCCCTCCAGGTGAGGGTCCCCACTTACCTCACCTTCCTTGAGGATTCTAGTCATCAGCATGTCTGCATTTTGCTTCAGTAAGGTGGTCTTCCTGTCAACTGACAGAGGTAGGAACTGCCAAGTTTAAGAGGAATGGGAGGGGGCATAGGAACAAGTTGATGAGGGGGCCAAAGACACAGAGGAGTGGGAAACAAGAGCCCAAAGACAGGAAAAGGTTCAGAAGAGGAAACTGAGGCCGGGAGGGAGGAGAAACGTGGGATACCTAGGATTCTCAGGTACAGTCTTGGAACCCCTGAGCTTGAGTGTGCTCCGATGGTGTGGGAGCTTTCTGGGCTTAGGGTGAGGTTAGGTGAAGGGGAAGTTGACCCCAAGGACCATGTAATTGGGAATGAGGAGAGGGAGGCAGGACCACTGGACAAAACCACCCCTTGACCTTTTGAATCCTTTGTCTATTAGAGTTATGTTCTGTTTAGGGGATGGAGCTTCAACCGGGAAAAAGGGAGATTTAAGAAATTAAAGGATTCTGGGACACCTGAGAATATTAATAACAATTCACATTTACACAGTAGGTTAAGTTTTACAATTTGCCTTCCTCACTCCATCCTGGTGAGGTAGGAAGTACAAAGATTAGCATTTCTATTTTACTGATTAAGAAACTTGGGATGAGAACCAGAGTCGATAGTCAGGAAGTGTTCAAGTTTAGATTTGAACCTGGGCCTCCTGACTTTACATCCAATGTTCCTCAACTGGTCTCGGGTCTCCCAACCCTGCCCCCCAGGCTCCTAGATCTTCCTATGGTGGGCAGTCTTTGTCATTAGGCCAAAGCTAAGTGCCTATGATATGGAACGAGGGGAGAGGTGGGGAGAAAATAGGTCCTGACACCTTAATGAATTCATGATGGTGCTGCTCATATGTTTTCAAATCCCAATCGAGATAGCCTGAAAGGAAGACCAGAGATTCGTGAGGAGGCATGGGGTAGAACTCATTTGTTTGAGAGCAGGGTAGAAGGGTAGGGAGGTTCTTGGTAAGGGGGATCCGAGAGTCTATGGACTGGGTTTTGGGGTTTTGAAGAAGCAGGTTGAATCTAGCCTCCAAGGGTCTGCTGGAGTGCTAGGGGCTGTTTCCAATGTTTGGAGTGTTTCGAGATGCCCTGACACTGTTAGGAGATAGCCTTGCCCATGCAGAGGCTTTTGATAGGTTTCACCTGCCTCACACAGTTCCTTACAAAACAATGGGGAAGAGATACTTAGTGAAGAATTGAGGTGTTGACAAGGATGGATTAGCTGGGAGGGAGTACAAGGGAGGGGTCAAGAATCAGAAGTCTTACCTGAGATAGATGTCCCACAGGGGATTTCCTCTAGCTGACCCCGGCTGGTGGCATGCACTAGGATACTGAGTCTGGTGTCCCCATCAGAGCTATAGTAGTAGGCTTGCTTTATGTCCAGGGAATACTCCCCCAGAATCTGGTTAGTCTCAGAAATCATGTTCAAAGTTTCAGAGAAATAGAGCAACTGAATTTCTTCACCTATGGGCAAGAGAAGCAAAGGAGATGGGGACTGTACAAAGCTCCAGACCTGAGCACCTGTTCTGTACCCCTCCCCAGCCACATCCATCCCTCTAAGGTCCCGTAATCTTTAAAGAGCTTCTGCTAGCCTCCACTGCCCAAACAACAGACATTTGTCCATCATGGTTCAGAAGTGGAAACTGAGGCCAGGAGGGAGGAGGGAACTCAGATATGAAGGATTCCCAGCTAGACCTTATAAATCATCTAATACAGGGAGGGGTTCTTAACCTAGGGTCATTGGACATACAAAGACTCTTGGATAAATTTCAGAGGATCCATTAAGTTGAGGGGAAGGAAATTACGTCTCTGTTTTCACTATGATTTAATTAAAATTTAGTATTTACTTCAATTATTTAAAAAGATTATTCTGAGAAGAGGTCCACGGGCTTCACTACTGCCAGAAGGATGAGTCCAACCACCCATTTCAGTTAATGATTACAGGATTACAGATCTAGAACCAGAAAGGGCCTCTGGTAGTCGGAGTGCCTCATTTTACATATGGGGACCCTGAGACTTCGAGACTTGAAGTGAGCTGCCCAAGGTCACACACGGGTAGTGAGCTGCAGGTTCTTGAGCCCAAATCCAGCTGGTTTCCTGGAGGGGCCTCACTTAAACAGAACCGTGGCACAAGGGGCAGTTTTTTCTCTGTTCTCCCACCCGCCCGCCCCACCCCCCACCCCCCGGGCCTGGGAAGCTCTAAGTCTCACTTATTGTAGCTAGAAATTCCAAAGCCTCGGAATTGGCTTCAGGTGGGGGAGGCGGCGGGGTTTCCTCCGGCACTTCGGGCTCCGGGCTTTTGGCTCCTGGGGGAACAGTTTAGACAGACTGGGGTGAGAGCGGGGTGGGGGTGGGGCAGGTCCAGAAAGAGGAGGGAGTCAGGAGGCAATTCCTAGCCCCCACCCCTTTGGGCCCCCAGGATTCTTAAGGTGGGCTCAGTACGAGATAAGGAAGTCCCCTCGCTGCAGAACCTGATTCACCAACACCCTAAATGCGCAGACCCCTTACGTTTGCCAGGCATGCTGCCGGCGCCCCAGAATGTATCCACTGGTCCCCAGGGCAACCGGCAGCCGACTGCCTCTTAAAGGAGCCGTCATCCAATATCACCCTGCTTTTACTCCACCCTTCTAGCACGGCTCCCAAATTCACTTCGGAGGGAAACCGTGGGCTGAGCTATTAACGCTTCAGTTAGCCACGCTGGTCTATACTGGGTGGTTGACACTCCTTGTTTGGGGTGTGTGTGAGTGCGTAGGGGATATCAACCAACCCAATCCAAAAATCATTCATCAAGCACTTAATACGTGGAAGGTACTGTCTTAGGTGCCAGAGATTCAAAGAGAACCCCAAACCTACTCCTAGTCCTCAAAGAGCTTACATTTTACTGAGGAAGGCGGTACAACAAATAAAATACCTGATAATTCCAAGAGGGAGAGAGCCCCCCAACAACTAAGGGGAGTCACTCCATCAACCAGCATTTATTAACCGCCTACTTTGGACCAGGTGCTATGCTGGGCACTGGGGATACAAATAGAGAAGTGAAGCCTCGTGAAGCCTCGTGAAGCCTTCTCGCCCTTGAGGAATTTATAATCTAGCTGGGGGAGATAACATGTTTATGCATATGAAGGTATATACAAGGTAGATAGATACAAGGTAGTTTTGAGTGGAAGGCACCAAGAACTAGGGAGATCAGGAAAGCCTTTCTGTTGGACCCTTGAAGGAACCTTTAGAATCTTTTTTAAATCGGTTTTTATTGATATCTTTGGTTTTTATATTACCTAAATTTCTCCCTTTCCTCTGATTACCCTTCCCAGAGAACCATACTGTACAATAATTTAAAAGAAAAAAGAAGAGAAAAAAATTCAATAAAACCAACCAATACATTGAAACAATTTGATTTTATATGCCTTGTTCTACACCCAGGGACCATTACATGGTTTATATGCCATCATATTCTTTATATGCCTTGTTCCACACCCATCTCTGCAAAGGATCCAAATATTTGTTCTTTGGTTACTATAATGTATTTTCACAAATACCGTTTCCAGCTGTGCAAGTGGCATATGATCATGATGGAAATACTATTGTACTATAGGAAGGATGGTTTCAGAAAAACCCGGGAAGACCTATATAAACTGATGCAAAGTAAAGTGAGCAGAACCAGAACATTGTACACAATAACAATATTGCAGCAATGATCAACTGTGAAACAATTAGTTCCTCTGATAAATACAATGATCCAAGACAATTCCAAAGGACCCATGATGAAAAATGTTCTCTACCTTCAGAGAGAAATCTGAAAAAATGTGAGTGCAGAGTGAGGCATACTTTTTTCACTTTACATTTCTTACTTTTTATTGTGTTTGGTTTTTTTTTGCAATATGGCTAATATGGAAATCTGTTTTGCATGATTTCACACGTATAATTGATGTATTGCTTGCCTTCTCAGTGGGTGGGGGAGGGGCACAAGTAGGGAGAAAATTTAAAACTCAAATTTTTTTAAATGAATGTTAAAAATAAATAATTTTTAAAATACAAAGGACATAAGGGGAAGTGATGTGTAACAAAACTGGAAAAGTAGGCTGGAGCCAGACTGTAAAGAGTTATAAATGCCAATCTGAAGATTTTGTACTTGGTTCTAGAGGCAAGAAGATTTTTAAGATTTTTAAGCAAGGGAGTGACAAGATCAGACTTGTACTTTAGGAGGAGTATTTTGGCAGCTGTGGGGAAGATGGGTTGGAGAGAATAAAAACTAGAAACTTGGGGCATAATTAGTAGTCTAGTACAATAGTCCTAGCAAAAGTGATATATGGGCCTGAACTAAGGGGGTGGCTGTGAAGAGGAGACTGATGATCTCTACAGGTCTCTTCCTTTGCATTTCTGTAAAAATCATACCTAGGGGACCTACCCCTAGTTAAATGTGTGATTAGCTACTGAATGTCTCTGGGCCTCAGTTTCTCTATTCATCAAATAAACTCTTCACATTCCAGCATTCTGTTTCTAAGGTCTTTTTTCACTTGAAAGCAGTCTTGTTGATGTCTGAAGCTGACTGCCCACTAGGGGTCACTGCCCTACTAGCTTCAGAAGAGGTTCCCCCCGCTCCGAACCTTCACCCCATCCCCAACTTTGGTTGTAACCTACCACATGGAGGCATCAAGTGACATTCCTCCCCTCCCCGATATCATCCACCCTAAGACACACAGGTCACATTTCACCTTGCTACTTTCCCTTATTTCTCCATCCACCAGCCTCACCCCAATCTCCTTGCCCAATCTAAATACCATCACAATATGTGACCCAAGGAAATGAAACAAGTAGTGATTGGTTCAGTCAATATTCAACAAGGTCAGAGGTCAACAACCTTTTAAGGGAAAAGAGATGTTCTCCCCCCAATATTCTTGCAATTTAAAAAAATATATATATTTAATTAAAAACATTGATCCAAGACAATTCCAAAAGACTCATGATTGAAAATGCTATCCACATTCAAAGAAAGAACTATGGAATCTGAATGCAGATCAAAGCATACTATTTTCTTTTTCTGTTTCATTAATTTTTTTCTTAATTTTTTTATTTTAGACAAATGCTAAAGCTTAAATACGTAATAAGCAAAAAAGAAACATTATAAACTTAAATATAAAATAAGAAAAAAATGTTATGTGCACAGCAGAACATAGGAGAGGATTCAAAATATATAGCAATAACTTTTCATTTCAAAAAAGTCTTTATGTTAACTATTATGTATGATATTGAAAGTTGTCCATCTTACTATTTTCACTTAAAAAATTATTTTGTGGTTTTTCCCTTTTGTTCTATTTCTTCTTTCAACAACATGACTAATGTGGACATTAAAAAGAATAAAAATAACATTGAAAATCACTACAACCAGCCAAACTTGCAAAGTATTTACATTTAAATTCATTAATTTCAAGTGATGAAATATCATGAAAGTTTTTTTAGTCACTCACGAGAATTCTTTATTCATTCCTTTTCACCTACTTTTTGTTTATAGTTAATATTTACTTCTGGTTTCTGTCTCTCTCTCTCTCTCTTTTTTTTTTTTTGCTTTGCCCATTTTATAAGTAGCATTCTATTACATTATTGTATCACAATTTTTTTTAGTGGTTCCCCTGTTGGGCGTTTAGGTTGTTTCCAGGATTGTTGGGATTTTCTGTATGTGTGTGTGTGATTACCTATGTTATTTTGAAATTCTTTGACCACATAGATCGTTTTTAGATTTGATGACACTTGTCAGGGTACATTCCTGACGATGGATTTTTTTTTTTTTTGCAAGGCAGTTGGGGTTAAGTGACTTGCCCAGGGTCACACAGCTAGCAAGTGTCAACTGTTTGGTCTGAGACCAGATTTGAACTCAGGTTCTCCTGACTCCAGGGCCAGTGCTCTATCCACTGCGCCACCTAGCTGCCCTGACAATGGAATTTTTGAGACAAAGAGTAGGATGACTTTTTGGGTAACTTTAAAAGTGCACTGACACATTTCTGTCTAAAAAGGTTTTACATGTTTTTAACTCCACCAGCAATGAATGAGTGTGCTTCAAGTATCTTCAAGTCCCAGAACATTGATTTCTGTTTCTGTTAATGATCAAATATAACTTTTTGAAGAATCCTATCTCTATACTCTAGTTCTTATTCTGTTTCTAATTCTAACCCTAATTCCATTTCTATATACATTTTAAAAAAAAGATTAGATCTTATGTTATCCAGGTAGGGAATTCTGAGGGAAGAAATTCCCTCCATGAATATATATGAATGTCTGCTCTGAAATTTATAGACTTAGGTTCATGGGAGCACTGAGAAATCTGGTGACTTTGCCCAAGGTCATAGCCAGTATGTGTCAGAGGTCAAATTTGATCCCAGATCTTTAGAACTCTGTGGCTGGCTCTTTATCCACCCTTCTACCATGTCTATTTGGGCATATTAAAGTGACGGGATAATTTTTGTGGAGGGTCCAGGAATGCTCCATAATTTACACTATTAAAATGAATGATAGATTTTCCTAGAATGGATTTTGTCTGTGTAGAGATGGGCGCTTGTACATACACACACACACACACACACACACACAAATATAAAATCTGCATAGAGATATCTATGCTTTTGCATATATACACACATATACTTATATGTGTATACATAGGCATATGTATATATACACATATACATATTACATGCATATATAATATACACACATATTTTCAATGGGTACCAGAGATATTTTACACCAAGGTCATTTGAATTGGCTATTATTATCTTATTCAATGTATACTAGTTAGTGTTGTTGCATCATACTTGACTCTTGGTGATCCCAAATTGGCAAAGCTACTGGGGTTGTGTGCCATTTCCTTCATCAGCTCATTTTACAGATGAGGAACTGAAGCAAATAGAATTAAGTGACTTGCCCAGGGTCACACAGCTACTGTCTGAGACCAGATTTGAACTCATGAAGATAAGTCTTCCTGGCTCCAGGCCCTATACTCTATCCACTGGGCCACCTAGCATTAATATAATGAGTTGAACAAATCAGCTAATTGTAGTCTCAGGAGCTAGGATGAGCTTGTCCTAAGCGGATGATGTTGGAGTATAGGGAGAAGCAAAGGTAGGAGAACCAAGGTCAAAAGTAAGAAGCCTAGGGCACCGATGCTATTGAATGGGAATAATGAGTAAGGGAAGGAGGACCAGGGAGAGGACTGAATGATGGGAGCTCTAGACCTAATCCCTACTGGTCTTCAGAAGTGCAACCTCATCGTCGTGGTGGTACTTTGAGTCTTCAATGGAGATGTGACTCTTGTCCATGTTTCTCCTTAGATGTATCATATCCCACCTGGCTGCACTCATTTTGGATGTCTTTGAATTTACCATGCTCCTTCACTGGATCACTTCCCCCTCCACACTTTCAACTTTGTTTTGTGTTGTTTCCCTCCAGTAGGGAAGCTCGATGGCACAGTGCATAGAGTGCCAGGCCTAGAGTCAGGAAGACCTGAGTTCAAATTTAACCTCAGACATTTACTAGCTGTGTGACCCTGGGCAAGTCACTTA